CCCCCCCCCCCCCAAAATAGAGGGAAAATTTTTTATAAGGGCACTTAATTTTGAAATACTGCAGCTATTGCTTGACTTGGATCTGAACTTAGAAAATTCTTATACAATTTGTTTGGGGGTTTTTTGTGTTCTTGGGTTTTTTAAGCATCTTAAAGGGGGTGATGGAAATAATGTAAGCATCAGTTTCTTCAAGTTGTTTTAAATACAAATGTACTCCTTTCCAGCTAGCGACTATGCAGATGACGGTTGGTCTCCTTGGTCTGAATGGACTTCATGCTCTGTGACCTGTGGAAATGGGATTCAGCAGAGGGGTCGGTCTTGTGATAGTCTCAATAACCGTTGTGAAGGTTCTTCTGTACAGACTCGGACCTGCCACCTCCAGGAGTGTGATAAGAGATGTAAGTGTTTTAAGAGTCAAAGACTTTCTATATTTAAAACAAAAAACTTAACCTATGTTAGCCTTTGGCTTCTATAGTCTAATTACACTAACAGGTTGGGCTGATATACCAAGCTACTTAGAAATGGTATAAGAATTGAAATATTGAGGGTCAAGCAGAAGGTGGAGAAAACAGAATATGTTTACTTGCTCGTTATGAACTGAATTAAATGCAGCATCTTGCAAGACCACACACTTTCTATTTGGTTGTTTTTTTGTTTTTTTTCTTTCCAACTTCTTCCTTGTGGTACCATAACAAACCTGCACTTTTTAAATATTAGAATTGATTATAGTACCAAAAGTGTCCTAGGAAATATGTCAGAAGGAGCTAACAATGTTGTACCTGAAGAAACGTATATGTCTCCTATTTAGTTAAACAGGATGGTGGTTGGAGCCACTGGTCACCCTGGTCATCTTGTTCTGTTACTTGTGGCACGGGCATGATCACTAGAATCCGTCTCTGCAACTCTCCAGTTCCACAGTTGAATGGCAAACCTTGTGCAGGTGAAGCAAGAGAAACCAAATCCTGCCAGAAAGATCCTTGTCCAAGTAGGTACATTCAAATGAAGGCCATAAAATAACTTGGCACAAAAGGCTTATGGTTTTAGCTAGAAGTGCAACCTGTTCCTGATAGCTGTCATCCTTTAAATCCACTGCTAAGTAAAAATAATAATAGTTTTTGATTTGCCCTGAGTATCTTTGTTTTTGGTAATACTTAAGATGTGACCTTTTTCAGTTGCCTACTTGAGGCTGACGCTCTCTAGCCTACATTCTTCCAGTGGCAGGATGCCATTTATGGCATCTTACACAGATGTATCAGAATCTAGTTTATAGAGGGGTTAGAAGCTGGGATTTTGGCTTTTTTTTTTTTTTTTTTTTATTTTAAACAGTTAGTTCTCTGGATGTTAAAGAGGTGTTTGTTTTCCTCTTCTCTCTATCCTTCCCCCACCCCCCCCACCTCCCTCCCATAGTAAATGGAAACTGGGGACCCTGGTCTCCATGGGATGCCTGTACAGTCACATGTGGAGGAGGCCTTCAAAAACGCAGTCGTCTTTGCAATAACCCTGAGCCCCAGTATGGCGGGAAGGATTGTGTAGGTGAACCCACAGGGACTCGGGTATGCAACAAACAGGACTGTCCAGTTGGTGAGTAAAAAATATAAAAACTTGTATGCTAGTACTGCTTTACTGCACAGTGCCTTAAGGCCAGAAGTAAAAATTACAGTGTTCTGAGGCCTACACTGTCTGCATCTTGTCGATGTGGAAAATGGAGGAAGTGTAACTCTGCTTTCAGTTGCATTGATTTCAATGGCATTATTTGGATTTTCCCTCTGGCCAAATTCAGTTAAACATCACTGCCCTAGAAAGTCATTAGTAAAACTAGGATTGGATCTAAAGGAGTCCCAATTCTCAGATCTTTGCCACTGACTCCTGCACGTAGCTGAGAAATGCAAATGGTAGTCATTGGCTCTTCTTAATTTGGCAACCTAATATCAGTTTCCATATAGAATTTCAGCTTTACTGATAAATGAAGTTGCCTCCAAGAGGCTGGTTTTTTGTTTGGGTGGATTTTTTGTGTGGTGTGTTTGTCTGTGGTTTGTTTTTTGTTTTTACCATTGTAAAATACTGCCATAAACCTCTGAGACACAGATCCTAGAATTGTATATATGTTGCTAACCTAACGTTTGATGTTTAACACTTCTTGAATCTTGTTTCAGATGGGTGTTTGTCTAATCCCTGCTTTGTGGGAACTACATGTACCAGTTCTCCTGATGGCTCCTGGAAGTGTGGTGCCTGCCCCACTGGTTACCATGGAGATGGTGTTCATTGTAAAGATATCGATGAGGTAAGAAGGCTACAACTTGGAAACCTTTTTAAGAGTATCTGCATTAAAAAACCAACAAACAAATCCTGTAACATCTCCCTGTATCCTAATCTCTCACTCTGCAGTGTCAAGAGGTTCCTGATGTCTGCTTTGTCTTCAATGGAGTGCACAGGTGTGAGAACACTGAACCTGGATACAACTGCCTGCCTTGCCCACCACGTTTTACTGGAACACAGCCTTTTGGCCGCAGTATCGAGGATGCTACAGCTAACAAGCAGGTATGGCAAATAGGAACTCTTCCTAGTTTTAACAAACCTAAGAACTACCTTCTGTAGTCCAAAGCAACTTCAAAAAAGGCTTAACATGCCCAGGAAGGGCAAAAAGTAAGCTTTTAGCCAGCCTTCACAGTTTGAGAAACTTAAAACTCATCTGAAAAGAGATGGACTAATAAGTGCATATAAGCGCAACTGAATGGTGTAGGGTTTTTTATTTTGTTTTGTGGTGGTTTTCTTTTTGTTTGTGACACCTTTTCATAACCTATTAAGATGGAGGCACTGCTTAAAAAACAAACTTGGGGGAAGAGTAGCTATTTGTGGTAACCATTTAGTTGAAATTTTAACAAGGTCTAAATGAAGAAGTACTTGCAGTGTAAATATTTAATGTTGTAGGTGCCTGGTTCCCTTGAAGGCTAAAGGTTTGACCAAGAAAAATGTACAGTTTCAGTCTTAGTAGTAATTTAATATGGGGGTTGGGTAGTGGCAACAAGACCTGCGTGATTCCTCTTGGCTCCTAACGGCTTTGGGATAAAATTGCCATAAGTGTGTGGGTTTTGGGGGGTTTTTGGCTCTTTTTTTGCCTTGCTGGTATGTACAGGGGATAGTGAGAAACTTTTTTTTTTTTCAGCTGATTTTATTCTTGTATGTGGTCTTCTAGGTCTGTAAACCACGTAATCCATGCACAGACGGAACTCACACCTGCAACAAGAATGCTAAGTGCAATTATCTTGGCCACTTCAGTGATCCAATGTACCGCTGTGAATGTAAACCTGGCTATGCTGGCAATGGCATTATCTGTGGGGAAGATACCGACTTGGATGGCTGGCCAAATGAGAACCTTGTCTGTGTTGCCAATGCCACGTACCACTGCAAAAAAGTTAGTACATTTCCCTATGTATTCTTTCAGTAGTACATAACTAAGGAATGTGCTAAATGGCAAACTCTTATGAAACCAAAGCAGGCTCATAGCTAATTACAAGTATTAAACTTTTTTTTATCTACAGTGCAACTAAAAGCACATTCCCAACTTTGGGATCTCCTGACAATGCTGCAACAGTGCTTTAATGCCAAAATTTAAACAGCAAACCTACTATTATGCTACTTGGTTGAGTCATCCCTGCAACATAAAAGAATTGTTAATTCTCCAATAGCCATAAAATGGCGCATGCAAGTTGCTAGGAAGAGCTTATTCTTGGCCATCCTTAAACACTCATGAAGAAAAGCTTTAGTTCCTCCCCCTCCCACTCCATTGCTATACCAATGGAAATGCAGGGAAAGACTTTTTTTCTCACAAGCACCAAGACCTGCTTTAAAAAATGACTTTCACTCTGGCTCCTAAGTTATTTTAAAAAATCTTAACTACACTCCTTAATTAAAGAACTAGTTTCATTGTGACAAGATTAGTGAGAAAACATTGGGATGAAAAACTACTTTTCTAACAAAGAATATATTGACTATACCGTTTGCACCTTCTTCCTAGGATAATTGTCCCAACCTTCCCAACTCTGGCCAAGAAGACTACGATAAAGATGGAATTGGTGATGCCTGCGACAGTGATGATGATGATGATAACATCCCAGATGATAGGGTAAGGTACCAAGAAGCATTCAATGCCTCTTTCATAGCAGCTTACTGTCTCCACCTCCACTATTTCCCCAGTGGAATAGCCAACTCCTAGCATCTGACCATAAGGTTTAACAGGAGCCCCACAGGGTATTTGGAGATGTAACTTTTTCCTTCTGCTTTACAGTTCTCGGTTCAAAAAAATATGCTAACAAATGGTTTCAAACTGAAATTGCAAACTTGATCACTTAATTTATTTGCATCATGCTGAATGTAATGGAAACATGCAAACAAAAAAAGTTTGACTAATTTCGGTGTGAAATAGGATATGTGGAGTAACAGAAAAATCACTACTTCCCTCCCAGATGCCATTGTAACCTGAAATATGTATAAGTGGGGGGGGGGGGTTGTTTTTTGGGAGGTGAGAGGGAAGGAGTGTGTGTGTGTGTGTGTGTGTGTGAACTTGTAACTGTTTTTGTCAGTTGAAGTAGTAGGTTCAACCACTGAATTCTTGGGCATTTTCTTTCAACTTACACATAAGTATCCTCACAAGAAGTCCTATTAATAGTGGTGTCATGCCTTTCTCCTTTTGCAGGACAATTGCCCATTTATTTACAACCCACAGCAATATGACTATGATAGGGATGATGTTGGTGACCGTTGTGACAATTGCCCCTACAACCACAACCCTGATCAGACAGACACTGATAACAATGGTGAAGGTGATGCATGCGCTGTGGATATCGATGGAGATGGTAAGAGACTCTTTTTTTTTTTTTTTTTTTTTTTTTTTTTTTTTTT